TGAGTCCTGCCAATGCAGGACAACAATGTCTGTCATTACTTACTTAACCACTAACATTTGTGGTTAGATAAATAGTTCTCTTTATTGTCATTTAAGACAAAGCAAATTTTTATGTACTTCACAATGTGCTTATGCACAAGTACACTACTTGGATACTATTACAGCATCTATAAATAATAAATACACAGCAGTAACAGTTATAGAATAATCATTTAACTCCTGCAACATCTAGGGGCAAAGGCAAAAACTAGAGGAGCAACTACACCATGTTCTCTACTTTTTGGCCCAAGTTATTTCTTGTATTTCTCTATTTTTCTCTCATAAACACACTCCAAAAGATACCAGCACTGATCAGGGCCTGTACAACTGACACTGTGATGATCAATAGCCTTAATCTTGCCCATCAATAAGCATCTTTGTAATTAAGTCAAATGTGATATCACTGACACATCAAGCAATCAACAGAAATGTGCATTCAGTAGGAGAAGTCTCAAGCAAAAAAGACACTGAAAGGCACTAGTCCATAGAAGGTACTGCCTTCAAAGCTCTCTTTAAGTACCTGCTTCGTGTGTGTCTGAGACTACAGCCTGCGTTCACCCAGTGCTTTGAGCTGAGCAAGGAAACAGGTAATAAAGCCCGATTTTCTGGTCTTCAAGATGCAAGTGATACAATAAAGAAAATCGAACATGAAAAACAGAGGATCCAGTCTATTGTATCTAATCATCTGATGAATGTAACTTGATCATGTGTTCTTATTTTTAATTACTAGTGGGGAATAAGTATTATGGAAAAGATGCCTGGACAGAGAGCCTAACTCCAGCACATATTAATCATCTAAAGGACAAATCCTGCTCTGAACACTTACTGTATTTTCAGATTCCAGGGAGGATGTAAGCAGTGGATTGAAGCAATAGCTGAGAATTATGCAAGAGATAATTGATCACACTGTATTTTGCTATGATGGCAGACTTGATGCTCTACTACCTGACATCCGGAGTAGCTATTTGCATTTAGGTGCAAGAAGTGCAATATGGTTGCAACTCAATATTATAAGGTTGATTACAGAGATCATACTTGGCAAACTAACTCTGAAGGAACTTACTGTACACAGCAACCGTGTAATCACAAATTGTACCTACTGCCAAAAGTGCTCCAGATTCTCTGGGAGGAGAAACCACATTAACACAACACAGTGTCCCACAAAAGCTAAACTATGTGCTAACTGTATTCCTAATTGGTAGTAGTTTCAAGACCTAAAAAGAAAACTTAGGGGTTTTTTTTTGTGTAACTGGACATCCTATTTTCAGCCAGTTCCCTAAGGGTGATTTCAAAGCCACTACACTACTCTTTGGGGGCAATATTCAAAATTTAGTAATCCCCATAACCTTAAAGTGGGAGGATGCGCCACAAAAATATTTTTCTTAAAATTCCGGGCTATAAAATAAGATTACATCATAGGATCTGCACACCACTGAATTTAGCAAGCATCTCAAAGCAAGATGGGACGCAGAAGAACATACTACAGAATGTATAAAACCAAACTCAAACAGCATGAAAAAAGTAATGTTTATTTTTAATGTTTACAAAAGCATGAACACCTTACGCAAAAGCGGCACCCTGAGCCATACATTTCCCTTATCCTCCCAGGATACTGGCAGAAAGCAAGTACTTTCTCCACTCTTTAGGGTTCAACATACCCTGCTGAGGTAAATGGGAACCACCCCACCGATTCCCACGGAGCTCCAGCAGCTTATGTCAGCAAAGAGGCCAACACATCAGAGCACAATGCAGTGAGATGTCACATGGGTGTCTTGCTTTAGGTGCCAGATTGGATAAGTCTGTGCTTCTAATCAAGATAAATACACTATCCATATACTTAATAAGCTCCCCATTATCTTCAATTTTAACTGAAACAGATCGCACTTGAAATCTCTGTTTCAACAACGACTCTCAGCCCACATGCAAGGTTTAACTTTATGCACCATGAACAATTTTACTCAAGTTTTTAAGAGACAAAGTATGTTCATAAGCTGTTTTAGGACTGAGACCTTGAAGCACAAAAGCTATTTATCCTTTCTTACCCTCCCTTCCCAGCACGTGGAGTTCAGGTGCTTACTCTGAAGAAATGTGCCCTAAGGCTAACCTGAAAAAAATATGCATAATTTTCATTTTACCTTTAGCTTTTTCTCCTGATCTGGAGCTGGAAGTAATTGATGGTCACAAATTCAAATAGGCCATGCTTTTGAATCTACAGAGAAACATTTACTTAACAGTTGGACTCAATCTTCTTTATGGCCTATTCCAATCTAAATGGTTCTATGACTCTAGGATTTACTTTCCAAAGTGTTTTGTTAAACAGAGAATATGATTGCAATAATTTCAAAGACTTAGCTGGAGCAAGTTACTCATACTGCTTCCTAAAATGATTCCTACTATAAAACATCATATTTCCTCAGCTACACTGAACTGAGGTCCCTCCCCGCAGAATCTACAACTGCTGCTTCAAAATATTTACTACACTGGGTGAAATGGCTCTGCCATCCTATGTCTAGATGACTGAAAAATACTATTTATGTTTGCAAGATTGATATTGTACCTGCGGATTGAAAAAAACTCCTCAAGCTGTAGGAACCATTCTGTTAGCTCCTGCCAACTTCACATTAAAGAAACATAATTTCCTTCACATATTGAAAGAATCTGCTAAGAACCCATATATATATACACAGAAACACATACACTATGTATGTGTACACATACATACAGACACGTATCGATAATTTGTATTTATTTTATGCTGACAAAATGCTAAAATAATCCAACAACTGTCACTGCTAGAGATGAGGCTAAATGAAATTGTATTACTTATATGGCATCAAATAATTATGATACTCTGGCCCAAGAGCTTCAGAAATCCTAGCAAAAAAAAAAAACAAAACCAAAAAACTCTTTCATTGGCAAGAAAGGAAAAGTTCCAAATTGTTTGAATTCAATTTTTAAATAAATTGGAAGGATTAAAAAAACAAAAACAAAACACCACCAAAAAACCAGAAAACCAAACAGGCAAACTAGACTGTATAATTTAAATTTCAGTTCTGTGTATAGCAAATACACATATTTGTACATATATTTTATTACCTTCATGGCAAAATTTTGAGGTGCCTTGGACTCAAAGATGACTTTAATGAATCTGTATCTCACAGTGCATCATTGCCTCAAATTTTGAAAAAGAAAAAGCTGTAAAAATTCAGCCCTGTATCCTGTGAGTCTGGCTGCATAGTCAGAAACAGAAATATTGCACTCAAGACCATGCCTACAAAAATGCACATTTAATAAGGCCATTATATTCAAGATTGTAATGGGACTTTAGTTACACAAACAATCATATATATCATAAATAGAGCTAGGAAAGTCATATTGCAGAAGAGGTACTCAAAACAGCAGTGTTCCAGCAATTAACTTTTTTTTTTCCCCATGAAATGGTAATCTCTCAAACTGGTTTTATGCACAGGGCCAGACAACATGATGTGTATGTACCCATGCATTCTCACAATGCGTTTTTTTCACTTTTTCTTAGAAGTTAACAATTGCCCCAGAGTTTGACAGTAGGTTCCTACTCAAGTACTGCTAATAAGGTTCAAGTTGCAATCAGTTTAAAGCCACTTCCATGTATGATGAAGGAAGGAAAGATTTGACTTTCAGTTATTTAAATAACTGCCATCATGCAAGATATAATCCTTAATTCAGAAAGTGTAGGAAAGACATAATTGAACCTGTACTGGAATACTCCTCAGTATGCTCTGAGGAGGATCACATTAAGAGTGTCAGTTTATCTGATCTGGCTTACCAAAAGAACGACAGAGCACACAATCGATTTAATGTAATTCAAGGAATGATACAGATTTACAGGTTAGCTGCTCACATCCCATGGCAAACAAAAAGAAGCTACCCTTTAATCAAAGTGGGTAAACTACCTTGAATTTACAGTAGGGTAAGTGTATTCACACCACCCATTACCTTGGAGTAGCAGGTGTGCTGTAAATCTGCTTTGTAGTTATTTACTCCTTGAGCCACTCCAAAGTTACCGAGTCAGCCAGCATTTTGGCTTGGTTAAGAGTAGTGGCAGTTGTCCAAGAAGGAAACATAGATCACTGTCCCTCTTCCTCATGACACACTACAAAAATACACAGTTATGCAAACGCAAAAAGCATCAGTACAAAGCCTGGAAGAATCACAAGACACAACAGATAGAAACTTATTGGTCACATATATTATAGTTCAGCAGAGACATTTCTTCACAATTCTATATTCTGCCATAGAATCCACAGCGGTGGCAATTACAGATGAACCACCCTCCAGCTGAACCAACTCCAGCGTTATGAACTACCTTTGAATTTTTTTCTTAGGACCTGTTTTTTGGGCTTAGATAGGTTTTTTTTTTTGTATAGAGACAAGAGACAAACCTGAGACACAGAAGATGTGATCTGCTTGCATATTATAAACAGATGAATGGATAATCAAGATGCAACAATCTACTAAACGTGTCACACACTTTACTCCTCCAGCTCCATGTACTTTTTCCTGCACAATAGTGCCACTTGACATATGCAAGTTTGTTGCTACCTGTGAACATGTTTTTGACCAGGGCTGGGGGCGAATGCATTTGGACAGCAACAATGCAGCTCTTAAAGTGAAGAGCAAGGAACACCGGAGTTCAGGACATGGTTTCTAATTCCACCCCTGTCCTATACTCACTGCATGCTGAGTAGCTCAAAACACTTCTTAGTAATCACGTTATTCAGAAGGTGAATAACTCTCTCCCTATTTTTTTCACAAAAGGAACAGTAAAAAGTCCTTTATATAACATGCAAATGAACATCCATCTAAAAGGTTTCTCCTTATTTTAGCAGTTTTGACTAAAAATGGTGGCCTGTCTACCAGCTATACTTTGTCTGCAAGTGTCTAACAAATAGAGTTTTGACAGGTATCCAGTTGTAGCAGCATTTTCAACGTTTTATGTTTGCTGTATTTAGTACTTTCAATCCAAATTCCTCTCCCTATACAGTGACGGTCTTGTAGACAGCATGACTGCCCATGCACACAGCATTTCTAAATGGAATTAGATGTTGTTTTCTTTCCACCATAACATTATCTTACCATTTTCAGTATCAATCAGCACCACAGGTTTAATGCAGGTCATGGAAAACAAGCAGCAAGCCCACTTTTACTGATTGCTTCAAACAATATATTCTTTCATATTTATACATTCTTAAAATGTTTTCTTGATTTAGCTATACTAAAAGTACTGTTCCAAAATTTCAGTTTACATTAAAAAAGGTCATTGATGACTTGATCAAAAAATACCACCAAAAATCCCTTTTACTCCCACAGAAAATCATATCTTCTTCTGAATTAGTGTTAACAGATACTTAGATTAGAAGACTCCATATTTCAGAAACCAGTTATTTAATGCTCAATATTCTTTTCAGCAGATGAAGAGGTAGGTATATTTCCACACAAGAAAAAAAAACAAAAAACAAAAACCAAACTGTAACAGATACTCAATTAAATCAAGTAATGTCTGAAAACTCAAACACTGTTCTGACAGCACATGATGTGTCTGAAGATACCCTCCATGGAGGACAAGAAAGTTGCACATTCTGATTAGATAATATATCATAATTTGAAATTTAATAATTTTCTGGAAGGAAAACACAAGTATCCAAACGCTGCTTCCTTCCCCCCCCCCCCCCCCCAAAGAAATGTGGGTGCCAACAAAACTGCCTTTATCAATGGTAGTATTAACTTTTGGACTGCTAAACATGGAATCAACTGCAATTCTTCCTTACATTCACCAACACCAGCAGTCTACAAGTTTACACAGAGACCATATGCATGATAATTACATAATTACAATAGAAATTCAACTTTAGTGTTGTTCTCAAAACAATCTTCATAAATAATGAAAATATCTGTGTTCTAGCTCTTCAGTAACCTAAGGTTAATTGGTACAGATAGTGTTTTTTTTTCTTCCTTTTATAAACCAAACTGGAGGTTCCTCACTGCCAACAATGGTTAAGGCCTGGATCAAGTTACTCTCCTTTTGCTTTTCCCTTTTTCTGCTTTTTTCCATTTTCCACCACTGCATTATTTTCTGGTTTGCTTACTCCATTTGCAACAGCACCATTTGCTATTTTTCCATTCTTTACAGGTTCCTTGGGCAGCTTATATGTCCGATAGTAGAAGTTACCAAACAGGAAAATAAAGGTGACAGCATAGAAAATGACACCCCAGTGCATCCATTTAGGGAAAGGACAATCAATATAAATAGACAAGGCTGTGTGGCCAATAGTCACATGGAACTGCACCTGTAAGACAGAAAATACAGAATCAGAAAGGTCTGGATATATTCTGTAGGTCTGACTGCAACAGTTAATATCTATGCATTAAGTTACAAAAACTGCTAAACCTGGAGGAGGCAGGGAAGCCGTATTTAGCTGTCACATTCATGCATCCACACCTGTGCTTGACCAGGAACATCAAATTTATTGCAGTATCTGTCATTAGTTTTCAGAAACAGGAAAATAAAAAGATAATAAAAGATCTAGATTTTCTCTACCTTTTGAGCATGTTGAAACAACCAGCAAGGAAGGACTTTAATTCATGCAACTCTTATCTATGCTGCACATTATTTTAGAAATTGAATAAATGCTTCCATCTCCAGGAAGTATTCTAACTTGAGCTGTCAGCGTCAGACAGAGAAGAACTTTTGGAAGGAGCAGTATGTGTTCCAAAGCGCTGCAAATGCAAATCCACTCAGAAGCAATACGTTTTGAGATAAAGGGAGAAATTTTACTTACCAGTTGCAATATGGTCAAGTATCGTTTCCACCACAGGTACTTCTGAAATTTAGGGCCGCAGGCTGCTAATCCATAATACATGTACATAATGACGTGAATAAATGCATTCATTTGAGCTCCGAAAAAAGCTGTCACGGAACAGAAGGGAAGACCGTCATGTAATTTTGGAAAAAAGAGAGAAATCATTTCTAGTATTATTTATGTAACAGTAAAAATTACAAAGCACAGGACATGCCAGGATTCCATCTTCAAAATATTCAATAGCATAGTACAGACCTGACTGTTAACATATGCTGACACAAACAGCTGTCACATCTTTCATGGAACTATTTAGGCAAGAGCTTTTCATAAGATTTTCGTTTAACAGACATAAATGACATGGATTCCACATCAGTTGTTGTGGTATAACTGCAATTGTTTGGCTAAGAGATAATTAAAAACTGTATTTGACAATGTAAAGTATCATGTTCTGAATTTAAATGTATAAAGTTCACTTCTCAGCAAGAAACTCATGTGAAAGTCTGATTAAATAGGCCAAAGAAATCAACCGGAGTAAAACTCGACTTACGGTTATGAGAACTCTAAGGGCACTGCCAGGTGGGTTTGCCTAAATTATTCATCTTTAGTTTCTTTGTTTATCATTAAAATATCCAGCATTCTTAAGTATATAAGTGTCTAGCATAACATTACCAAGAATGTTCTATGTTGGACATAAAGATGACAATTTCATTTATATTAAGATCTCTTTGCTTTGTCAAGATTAGCAGCCATTTAACAGAAACACATTGCATCTTGTTAAGGTATTCTTACACTGACAGAGAGGCTCAAAAAGGCTGTAATGTCTAAGATTAGGGCAATACAGACAATAGCTGCTGACATCAAACAGTTCAGATGTCCATGTGGTCTAGACCCAGTTAGCTATAATAGCGCCTAGTTTATAATAGACCTGTCTATGTAAGCAGTGTGCTATCAACTAGAAAACAGAAGAACACAGATCTACCCACATTTATGCACTAGTGCTACATAAAGGCAGAAAAGCAACTGCTGCTTTTCCTTTTGCAGGATCTAGAAAGTAAGAAGCAGTGCAAGAACACTGAAATGTGAAAGAAATTTGGAAATAGCTGCAACCGTTATGTTGAAACCTGCTGATATTTAGCATGAAAACTCTGAAAAGGCAACAAGGGAGAGGGCCTTTGGAGATATCCAGAGAATTTCTAAGCAGGAATACAAGTAATCATGCAATCTCCAATAAACTTATTTTATAGGTGCAGTTGCCAATAAAGATCATGAAATGTCTGGCTGAGTACCTGCATTCTGCAGATTACTTGAGAGAAATTAAAAGATAGTCATAAATACTAATTTTATATATTTCTTCTTTTGAATATAAGTGAGCACTCAGTGCAAAATATCTATAGTAAATTGGAACACCACCCCCCCCCCCATGCATTAAGTATTAGTGTTGTTCAGGAAAAAAAACAACAAAAATGCCAAACACAAAACATTAGCTTGGTGTTTATAATAGGGCATTTTGTCTTTGCTATATGCTAATTTCAGTGTCATAAGCCTACAAAGCACTTTACAAACAAAACATGGCACTCTTCCTGTATCCTCAGCTCTGCAGAGCTGTAATTTCAGAGAGAAAGGCAAAACACCAGGAACAAAGGTACAAATACAGGCAAGGGAGAATGTGGCAAGTACAATAAATAATAATAAAATTATTTGATGGAGGCTTTAAAAAAGAAGCAATGGGGAAAAAAGGCTGATAATGAATTACACACTTGTGCCATTATGAAAAGGTTTCAAAAGTGAATTGACAGATTTACTGGCTCATCTCCAAGGGAAGGTTTCAGAATTTTATACAAGCCCCTTTATAAAAAAGAAAAGTAAACCTCAAACTCAGATACAATGCCAAAATGGCATCTCCATTAACTTCATTAAATTTGCATACAGATTGTAGCCCATAATTAGATTTTGCAGTTCTCTGTGTCTGCAAAAATTAAAGCTAGGCAAGACACATTTTTCTGATTTATAGAGAATAAGGATACTTTTGGAGGCAGAACTTCAGGCTTGCAATTGATGCCCATGAGGAAAAGTTTCACAATTCATTAGATTATTGCCCTGTTATCTTTTCCTCCCCCACGCTTCCCACAGAGGGAGAGTTACGCATTAATAAACAGTCTTGTAAGTTGTGAAGTCAAGTCTACGAAACTTTTTTCCATTGCTCCAAAACAATAATAATTCTCCCTTCCGCCCACTCAAAAGGGGTATGGGAGGAAGGGAACTCACCTTGTCCACCTGCGACCCACTTAATACCAATCCACCACAAGGTGAACATGGTGAAATGGTGATAGACATGAAGAAAACTAATCTGGTTAAATTTCTTCCTCAGGATAAAGAATACTGTATCCAAATACTCGATTCCTTTAGAGACATAATACCACCATAAAGCAGCAGCTATCTGCAATGAAAAATCAGACAATACATAAGTTTAGTGATTTCAAGCTGAATGGAATAAAGCTCTCTCCACCTATGTGCTGCAAGAGAAGGATACTTCTTCCTTCCCCATATCCTGGTAAATGTTGAGGTGGAGTCATTAAGCATCTGACGGTATGAGAACAACAACAAAAACAATACTCCTTCCCTCTATTCTGGACACGGAAGTAGATTATTCTGAGCCTATTGCTCACAAATTACAACTTTAAAAAAGAGCTAATACAGTTAAAAACTTTGTCATCTCTGAACAGTTTACCAGTTAAACAGGGAGTTTGTGTCCTTTCCTAAGAAGAAGACTTCCACAGGACTTCCCCTAACATGAGGTAACATTTTCATGTGGTCAGAACAATAATGCAGAAACATTACGAAAAAATGAAGTTGCAAAGACTGAAACCTTCAGTACCACAGGCATACGGATGGAAAGATACCAAATCACTCTGACAAGTTAGGTGTAGTACAGATTTCACATCCCTTAAAGCAATATTCCCACAGCTTTTTCCTGCCTGCTCACTAACTCCCTCTGAAAAGCAGCATTCCCCCAGTGGCTCTGTGCTATTCAGGGAATAATAAAAATGAGACTAGAGGAGCCATAAAAACTGCACAGATATAACCATTTACCCAACAGGGCAGTGCTACAACCCAAAATTATTTTTCTAATCCACCCATCATAGTGAATCTTGCCCAGGATACAACTTAAACATGGCTTCCAGCTGAAATCAGGATACTGTTAAACCAGAAGCCCAGAAGCTCTGTGAAGTAATTTGTTAATACTATGATATGGGAGTATGGTGGTGGTAGGGACTCCCTTCCAGATCCCAAAGCATAGCAACAAGTCTAGTTCCTGGCATCATAAGTCATCTAGCTTGTTATGCAAGGGTGGGACCAGAACATATCCCAGATGGTGACTCACATAGAGAATGGGAAAGAAAAAAAAAAAAAAAAAGAATTGGAATTGGTACCATCTGCAAGAGGAGAGCAGGCAATGTCACAACACACCTATTTGTAAGAAGTTCGCCTTGTCTTTCAGGACTCACTCGATGACAAATCAGACTTTCTTACCTTAACCTGGTGTGAAATACTCCCACCACCTCCTCAGTCCCCACGGGAGACAGAAGAAAAAAACATTAACACAGAGTAGCTTTCCTTCCCAACTACACACATAGTGTTAGGGGAGTGAGAGAAAGGGGCGTCAGAAGAATGAACTGTACAGAGCAATGCTACAAGCCCTGCATGATGTTTTTCCTCCACCTCTCCAAACTAGAGGGAAAGGAACACATCTCTCCTCAGAGTAAGTTTTTCACAGCCATAATTGGACTAGTGAACAGGTTAGGAGAAATTACAGTAGCAGCAGAAAAGCAGCACAGGAGAAGAGTGCTGCAGATCTGCATTGCAGACTGCAGTTTCCCAAAGGGACTGCACATCTTACTGTTGCCAAACTGCAGACTTCAACGTATCCTTTAATGAACACCCTCCTCACTCACTGGATTTGATTTAGCTTACTTCAGATCTCAGGAAGAGGAAGCAGATTTTACCAGTTTCATACAAAAATATTCTAATATCTGCAAAAGCTGGAGAGAGGCTTAGTGAGAGAAAAGTGACTCTCACAGATCTGAGTTCCCAGGCACACAGGCAAGCTGCAAGAACCATATATATATACACACGTATATGTTGCTCAATATCCAGTACAGTACTGCCTCTGGGACAGGTAGTCAGATGTAATAACACCCACATCAAGGTTTGTCTCACACCCATGCATTAGCATAACAGTCCAGCATCTTTCACAGGTCTTTGCTAAAGCTGCATCTCTTAAATAAATTAAGATAAGCATCTTTTCATCTCATGAGTTAACAACAAACACTTTGGACTGTATCCATAAAATGACAGATCCAGCATTGCAATACTTTAGCTCTTTGGAGGTCTTCCCTCCCGAGAAACTTTTATAGAATCAATATGTCAGTTACAAGCAAACTGCCATAAAATCTTTTACATTTTTAGCAATTAAACATGGAAACAATAAGTCAAATAGCCAATAAGCAAAAACCCAACTCATTGTATGACAGAGGGCAAAATATAAGTGGAGAAAAATCCTACCAAAATACTTATGTTTTATGCCCAAGATGCCACAGGATCAGTATATGCTCCTGGACAAGTCTCTTAACACACCTTATTCCTCTTGAATTCCACCTGTCTAACAGAGAAAGTAATTATAGCCCCTGGATAAAAACTATTTGAGCTTTTGATCAAAATATTTTCCGTCACTTAAGAACAATAACAAAAAAGAATAGCCTCTATTTCTTTGCAAGATCATACCTGCTGATTTTGTGTTCCTGTAGATATTTTTGCCTGTCAGCTTCTTTGCTCTCTCACTATCATCAAATATTTCTACCATTTACTCTCAAATCTGATAGATTTTGTGTACTGACGATCTATTTCACTGCTTCCAATGGCTTATGTGGATGCTTTTAAAATGAAACAGGAGTCATGTCATTTGCTTGAGGCCATACATGCAATCAGTGACAGAGGGCAGAAATAAAATAGAACAATACACTGATATGCAAGCCATGTCAGGAGCAGCTGCCTGCTATTAAACTTCTTTTGCAAAGCTTCAGAAATCAGGCCTAACCTCTAGTCTGTCTTTGAACGCAGCATGAAAAAAGATTTAGTTGAAAATAAAATACGCATTAAAAAGGTACGTTCCTGTAATGAACAATATTAGTCAAACCGTATCTTTTCTCGTAATTTTCATATGTGCAAATCTAAGTCAGTTAAAACACCAGATGGCACAGAAAGATTACATTACAGCCTAGGATTAAGGGGGTCAACAAGAGGTTCAATCCCATGTCCTCTGCCTGCTGCAGGTTTTGAATAGAGGGCTGTTTTAACGCAGGATTCTGTTTCTGCACCATCCTTCCTCATTTCTGGTTGGAGACAGTTATCCATTAAGGGGTATGAAGGGACAGGTACTTCTTGGAAGGTCACAGTAACATGAAAAATTAAAGTGGCTTTTAAAGAGAACTCTTTTCTCAGTTACAGAATTTTGTTTATGGGACTTGACTTGTTAAGTCGCTTTTAACTTCTGTGAAAAAAGAATGTAAGTTAATATTAGGCTTTTTTTCATAAGGGAAAACCACTCAAGCTCTAGACATAAATACAAACAATGCAGATTACAATCACAATACAGGAGATAACCATTGCTCAGCTTCAGGATTACAATCGGCACACTTAAAACTACAGACCCAGTTCACACAACTCCATATTCCCATTTCCTAGTTCTTCAGAAACACTAAAATAGATGAAACTTGACCTGGGAAACAAGGGCACATACATGTAAGTAGAGGGGGAAAATGACTACTCACAGACACTATCATGCCTTAAGTTAGACAGTGTTAGGAAATTGTTCACTTCAAATACTGAAGCTCCCAAGGGAGCACTACAAAGCATGGATTTAACACCTTAGCCCCTTGCATTTATTATTTTGACTCTTAAGCTTTAACCATCTTTTTTTTTTCCAAGATGCAGTAGTAGATCCTTCCAAATCCCTTCTTGGAGATTTGTTCCCTCTTTTCTTTCTTGTCTACTACGGACATTTTACTTTTTTCATAACAAAATGCACTCAACTTCCTGCCAGCAGAAAGGTGGCTACCTACTACACCCAGAAGATAAAATTCTTCACAACAGAGTTTATTTCTACAACGGTGGGATCTAATTTTCATCCCTGCTTGCTCCAGTTGTCCATTGCCTCTTGTAGAACAGCCAGGAGAGCCTGAATGAGATTAACAGGTGTAGGTAGGTTCAAAACAGTAAACAGGAGCACCAGCTGCTTCATATTATGTGTAAACTACCTACATAATTCATCATCAGTTAAAGCCAGAAGCTTGATAATGTTGAAGAAAACATACAGGCAAATTAGTGGAAAAACAACCCCTTAAAAACTGGCAAATCAAAAAGGTTATGTCTGACTTAAGAGGTCTGTGAGCTTCAGATTGCTGGTGTTGCTAGACTATACAGGGGAAGTGTCACCACGTGCCCTTACACTATTCCCTTAAAATCACCACTGACTTACCATCTTGACACACAGTGTGCGGATTAAAGAAAGGAAAGATTCTCTGGCACCCAGGATAGCCAAACTTCTTTTCCCTGGGAACTCTTTACCAGCTCCCTGCACTCCCTTGAGGGACAAAGGATGCTTTCTTGACCCCTCATTTTGATCAAGAGCTTTGACAAAGGGGCCACTGCATGGCAACATCACAGTGTCACATTCCCAAAAAAGACAGAAACAGAGGTCATAACAAGGCTTCTGTGTTGCCATTTAGACCATCATATGCAATTACTTTCACATTTCTCAGTATTTGTTCCAGACTTCTAAGCCCCCCCAAAAATCATATATGAAGCTGTTGCTTTCCAGAGCATGTTCCATAATGCTTTTCTGGGCTTAGTGCTGTTAGTCCCAGCTTGGTGAGTTAGTCCCAGTTTCCTTTATCTGAGCAATACAGGGCTTATTTACTCATTCTTTTACAAATAAAGTAATTGCATTTGTAATTAATTCTACTACTTCAATGCAGTATTTCTCTTCAGAGAAAACCTGATGCCAAATAAATACTAGACATTTAGTATCTAAAGCTATTAAAAGGGTGCGACGGATGTGCTACAACGTTTATCTATTCTAAATGCAAAACTGCAAAAACATTGTAAAATTCCTTTTGCAGGTTTATATTATGAAAAACGATGGTGAAAAGAATCTTGAGGAGGTTTGAGGGTTTGGTTTTTTCTGTTCAACAGTGTCAAAAACCAACAACATACCTTCTAAATGCAGAGCATGATACATTGTAAAACAGAATAGAAATGTATCCCAGACTCCTTAGTTAGACAAAGAACACTTGTGGAAAACACAATCTTCTACTTGCAACTAATTTACCTGAATTGAGAATTCATTCCACAGAACTACCAGAAAATTATCAAGGTAAGAGTCTTGACTGACAGCATACTATATACAGTTGCTGCAGTAACTTGAGGGAACTCAATTTTCCCTGCTTCCTCAACTCCCTCACTTGCAAATTGAATATGCTGGACCTTAAAACTTCAGAAATAAATTTGATGCAAATCCGCAAGTTCGTGAAAAATAATTAAAAAAAAATAATTTAAAAACTCAGGAAACCCAAAGATTGCTAGAGCAATCCTTCTTTTCTGGACATATTACATGCTATAAATACACTCTGCAGGTAATTTTGCATTTATTGCATTGTATAATAATGCTCTGCTTGTCAAAAACAAACAAAACAGATGACAATTCTTTTGAGCAGATCTGACCTCTCCATTGCCTCCCACAAATAAGTGCACCTACAAGTGAAGATATAAAATGGAATTTTGGCATGCTAAAAGTCGTACCTCTTTTACTTAGCTAATATATAAATTCTTTTAATGTACATCATACCAGTCCTCAATGTCATTCAGCTGAGGACATGGGCATTCTCTTTTGCTTATCTATTAAAAAAACCCCAAACCTTTCAAGCACTTGCTATACTTTGCTAGATCTTGTTTTTCAACAAAATTATTCACAGATGTATTCTAGTGACTGAAATAGTGAGAGCACAGTATTGGCAAAACTGAAAGACTGGCAGTTACCATAAGGCCGATAAAGTCTACACACAGAGCTGCTCTGCAATATCAGCCATTATACATAACATGTAAGACTCAAACCTTTCTGTCTCACCACCACCCATGCCACATGCACAAGCTTTTGAGTAATACTGCCCATGAACAGCTACCTTGTAGACAAACAGTTTTTCAACTGTGCTATAAACATTAAATGTATTTAGACTATACCATACTTTCATTAGGTTTTTCATAACTTTCTAATGTTCTAATAATCTGTAAGTAAAACTTGCAGGATCAGCTGAGAGATTCTCAAGTGTCAGCTCTGCTGGAAGATAAGGGTTAGTACATGAGCTAATCAACAGCATTACACGAAAATTAACATGCATCTGCACTTTTAATTTGGATGTTTCCCAGAACTCACGTATTTGAAATCTAAGATTCTACAATGAAATGCTGTGATAATACATCTGCCAGAAGCCAGCAAGACCTCACGAAGCCATAGATGGGTAAAGGAGACAAAAAGTTGCCTCACCAGTATGGGTGAAGTGCAACCACAGTATATGCTGACAAATCTTACTTGCTTTGATCTCGCTAGAAAACGCCACCATTACTGCGGTTACCCTGGTATAATAAACTTCACCAAGATCTAGGAACCAAAGTATGCATACAAAGTTTATCCTGGATTGTACAACCGCGGATGAAGCCAAGGATAGTATCTAAGATTCCCCTTACTTGTAGCAGTCAGATGAAAGTTAATGCAAATATGCTGATGCACTTTCATTAAACCCGTGCACAGCGTAGTCAAACCTGAAGTGGTCTGTGAAAATATAACGGGATACAGTCATGGCTGACAGCAGAACTGTGGAACCACTATTTTCAGACAAGACTTAAACTGTCATGTGGTGCTAAATATAACAGACATCCACATACAAATATAAAAAAAGAAATACTCACCCTAACTTCATAAACATTATCTGAATAATCCACGGTCTGGCAGACATAGCTGTACCCTCGAGCTCTTGATGATAAGAACAGCTGAAAATATTAAAGTCATACATGAGGGGAAAGATACTACATAAAATAACATTCATAACAATTATCAGCAAGTTTCCTGCTACATCAAACTTACCTGAACAGAAATATTTAAAATACCCTTATTAATCCTGAGAATACTATTGGAGAAAGCCAACATTTAGTACTAACAACTGGCTGTTACATAGCACTTACTTTTTTCTTATAAATTAAAGAGACAGCACTCATTTCTCCCTGCATGTATCTGCCCAGACAATTACAGCCTCATACAAACTACTACAAATTCCAGTATGACCTTGAGCTATTCAAACATGAGTATTCTTTCTGATGGCTCTAGCTTCAGAGACAGAAAATACCTATCTGCTTTCACAGCATTTGACAGAAATACTGTTCCCAGGATGGATTCAAGAGAACTCTATGTATGTGACAGGGATTAGATAATTTGGAGCTATAATTCTTAACACAGTATACCAATCACAACTCAGGAAAAAAACAAACAGGTTGAACAGCCAAAGCTGAGCACGCACAAAACACATTGAGAGAAAATGGATGGAGAAAAGTTCCCCATTTTGTGCCAACTGAAATGGCCTAAAACACATGAAGTGCTCCTGTAGGGCCACTCCAAACCAAGTACATTGAAAAAACCTGGACAGGAAAAAACAAACTTGACACTTGAGCAAGTTCCTATTGGACAGAAGTACACTTGTCTAAACCTGTACAAAATTCAAATAAAATTTCTAATCTTGACATTCACGAATGTTATGATCCAAACTTATTTAAAGCCAAGTAATCCCACCCTGTTATGGATCAAAGAGAGACAACAGTGGAGCAGATATAACCTGTAAACTGAGAGTTGTAAAAGTAGAGAAGGGTGAGACAAAAATATGGTCAAGAAAAACCATGGGTAGGCACTGGCTATTCCTACCACTAACCTGACTTCCATCTTATTTGGACTGACCTTGAGTTTACTTTGGTGTCTCACCTTGCACACAGCACTAGGAGTGCAGTCAGATGCAGAGACAAGTGTTATCCAGAAAAAATACCCCAGCATACAAAACCTTGTGAAGCTGTGGACATATTTGCTGCACATGTCTTTTAAAGTAAGTAAATGAAAGAACTGTTCACAGAAATTATCCTAGAAAACATAGTTCTGCATCCTCCAAGTCCATTTACAAACTGCTGTAACACCACTGCTCTCCAGTGTGGTCCCACACAGGCATGAGTACATTTGATACTATAAAGGAAGAGCAAGGAAAGTTTAGTCCACACTGTTACAGAAATCAACCAATCTCAACTGCAACCTACTGGGTAACTTGGCCAAGGTTACCTTAGTAAAAGGCAGTAAATTGACTTCACCAGACTGCCTCAAAGTAGAATAAGAAAGTCATGATTTTGTGGCAACACAGGGTCTGTACATCCCCACATACAGGGACTTCTGCATGCTCTGAGCAAAATTTCCTCCAAATTTGAACCTGCATTTGAATCCAATGTATGGAATTGTTGGACTAGACAACCTCACAATGTTCCATGGACTTACTATTTAATGTAAGTTACCACACATGAATAAAACAGCTTGCCAATAGGATGTTTATTCAAATAGCATTTAAAGGCCTTTCACATTCAATTTCTGTTCTTAGCATTGTCTGGAAACTTTACCGCCATTCACAAAATACAAACTGTATCATTTTACTCATAACAATTCCATTAAAACTCATGTGAATTACAACAGTGGCACAGTGGTACTGTAAGCCTCATGCGGATGAAGTAGAAGTTGCCTCGTAAAGGGATCAACTGAAACTTGAACAGCTTCCTCCTATCAGTCTCTAAGATCAAGAAAATACACTTCCTGTAAATGCTGTATCCATAGCCTTAACATTCATTGAATATCAAGCTACCATTTGAGAGAGCCGGAAACTAGAACCTCTGTGTCTAAAATGATGACCTTTCAGCATAGTAGCAGTAAATACGTATTTGTAGTCCCACTAATTTTTATGTTAATTAGGTGACTTGGAAATGTCACAAACATGTTACCCTATCAGCAACATAGGTTTGAAAACTATTTGACCATAGGTTTGGTATAATTCAGCTTATGGATAAAACAAACCAATTTAAAAGTCAGGCATGGTAGTAACACTGCAGAATTAATTTCAAAGGAGTTTCAGTTTTAACCTGCCAAGATGATTGGATTTAATCACAACTATCCTTGGGTGTCAGCATTCAATTCTGTTGTACCTGTAGTTCTTTATTACTTAGTTGAATAGTCCAAGGAAACAATTCAAACAAAATGATGAGTGAGGTGTGATGGCTAAAATTTTACTGAATCATGTAAAGAAGCTGAAAAAAGTTAAATGCTTTTATTATAGAAACTCTGGGTAAGGGTCAATATGTATATCATCATCAGCTATACCATGATTTCTTGGCAAAAGTAAAGACCAGACCAGCCAGAGAGTTCTTGAATGTTGTAATTTTAACTACTCTGTTCATTTGCTTACTTCTGGAAATAGATTTTGCAAATCTATGATCTGAGGTCTTCCAGGAAGATGCCTCTTAATCCATATGAGCAGTCATAGCAGAATAAACTTAGCATCAGCCATATTCTGTACAGCTATCCTTGAATAATAATTACCAAACTGTTAAGTAATTGCAGTTTGCTACTACTACAGAGTTGGCCCACTGCACTGTTACTACTCATTTCCTCAGTAGAGAAATCCAAAGGAAAAATGCAGCAACACAGAAATTTATTAAAATTAACACACTCTGAACATTTCAAACCAAGTATTAGAAGACTCTATACTTTTATTTTTATTTAGAGATGTAGTTCACTTCATTTTTATTCTTATTCTAAAAGACAACCTACAGACAAGACAGTTTTCCTCACTACAGGTAAGGGACATTTGAATTTCTAAAAATGATAAAAACATTGAAAGCATGAACAAACAGCTCAATTTCTAACAAAATGCAGTCTGACACCCTTTAGGATTATTAAAAGGAAAAAAAAATCAGTTACAAGTGTTAAATCTCTATGGATTTTACTTATTCTGTTCATTATTTAGACTAACATAAGTCTAAGAACTTGGAATAGCCAGTACACAAGTTCTCTCTATAGACTCATTTAGAGTATTTATTCTCAAATGGAAAGTACCTAGCTATAGAAATACTCTCGAAGGCAAAGCCATCTTTAGAAGTCTGTGCAAAACATTCACTCTCAGTAGACATCATAAACATGCAAGATAATTATTTTCATTTTGCAAACTGCAGACACCCTCAAACCTTAGTAAGAATTCCCTCTTGCAAGAGGGCATACACACCTCTTTGAAAATGAAGAAGTTGAGCAGAACCATTCCAAAGTTGTAAACAACCAACAGGAAACGTAACTGGAAGGGCTCTCTTGTCTTCATCCATTTGGGGCCCAGCCAGACAGTGAGGAGATAAATAGTGCTTATAGTCAGTGTTGGAAATGGAGACTGCATCAAGGGCCAATCATCAACACGTTTGTCTGAGGGGGTGAAGCAAACAGAAGGAGTCAGTGAGGTCTGAATAAAATATATTTCATTATCACTTTAAGCACTGAATTTGTTAAATATTATTCTCTCTTGGAATAGTTGCATCAGCTAGTAGAAACACAATGCACTCATTCTTTCTAGGAAGGTTAAAGAAAATAGTTTTTTAAAAAAACCACACTATATCACATTACCTCACACAGAGATTCATTATGTTATTTAAGCTCTGTTGTCCAGTTCTACAATCCAAAACAGTAAAGCAAACAGAATCACATGAGCACAAACACGACTCAACTCACTAATCCCCCCAAACCCAGTTTGCTTAGGATGAACAGTGACTGCAGCGGCAACATAATCAAATATTCAACACCACTGCAAATGAAAGATACACAAATTTGGCAAAATATTGATAAAACCAGTAGCTTTTATTAGTTTAAAATTAGGCACTAGAAAACCTCCTATTAATTTTACACAGGTTGCATGATGATAACTAAGAACTTTGGCTATTTGATGTAGGTCAGTCTCATGTTTCAAACAGAATACTAACAATGGTACTGGAAAACAACTAAATAAAAGAGTTTAAAGGGATGGTTCTAGTTAATCTGTGCTGCCATATGGGAAACAAAGGTTTTATTTATAGTCTGCTTCAGCCACTCACGGGATTCAGAGTTACATTACACATATTTCAGAGCCCAGAATATGCTGTATTAAGTTCTGGATCAGTATCAAAAAAGCGCTCTTAGCCTGATGAACCAGTGACATGTAGGATTAGAAGATGGCTCTGCTAGAGAAAGGAAGCAAGACTACAATGACACCTCCTTACTTAGTGCCTTAGTGCCTGTGACGTCCCATGTGTCGTGTGTGTCCTCCCCGCCCTGTAGGCTAATCTCAAGTTGTAGCAAGACATAAAAGGCAACTACCCCATAACTATCAGAACTTCAGATACTGCACAGCTCTCGTACTAACTGGAATATTTTCCAGTTGCTTAGGCCAGTCATAGTTCATATGGAAATCACATCACAGGTCTCCTTGGGAAGCTCAGACATCTAAAATACCTGCCCTCAGTCATTTGTGGGAAAACTCACAAATGCAGCTGCCCACAGACTTACCTAGAGGACAAGCTTCTTTTAGAGATTTCAATGATAGAGAAAAATCCCTATACCAAAAATTAATTCCTAATCCCAGCCATACTAACCAGTAAGTTAAAAAACCCTACTTATCTTGAAAATGAGGAACTCTAATGAAATGAGGAAGGTACAGAACAGCACTGCCATTACTTCTCCTACACTTCTTTCTCATTTCCTTTCTTGTCCTTAAGATCATAAATTAGAACTTCATTTTAAAAGCAGATTTCATGAGACCCTCTATTTCTAATAAATAACAAGTACTATGAGCTACAGAAAGAGAGCACGCAGAACAGTGATTCTTCTTATATCCAGATGATTCAACAATAACAGGGCTGCACATTCAAAGTAAGATACCAGGAGGCCTAAAAAGAAGTGGAAAAGAAGAAAGAGAAACCAGCCTAGCTCCTTCTATTATGGCTGTTAATAACAGAAGAGAGAACTCATCCTAATTGCATAGAAACCTCCAGCAAGGCTGACACTGCCAAAATGATGGGATTCACCCTTCCAGCCACAGCTACCAACAGAAGCCAAGGGCAAAACAGAGCAAAGAATACAGGGAGGAGTGCAAACAACAAAAAAAGTGAAGACTGGCTGTAGAAACACAGGCAGTGGAAACAGAACCAAACAAAGTGAGAGAAGACAGTTGCCTCTTAACTTTTCAGCAAGTTCCTGGAACCAGAGAAAATACCACCTACGGAAGCCGAAATCACCGCTGCATTCCAATTATTACACAGTTATATATCCCTTACACTTTAGTTCCTGCTTGATTTTAGCAATTGTTCTACCAATCTGAATTTAAAAATAAAAGACAACACGACAGAAAAAAAAAAAAGAAATGGAGAAACTCATAATCTATCTGGTACAAATTAATAGACAAAGACTCATCATGAAGCAAGAAGAAAGGTGTCAGTTAAGAGGCAGTTCTGGGAATAGTCAGTGTGTTACGTCTTCATCAAATCCACATCTCAATTCACTGTAGTGTGCACAGAGTTAATAACAGGTGAGGAAGAGACAGTTGCTTTCCCAGCTTTCTTGCAGTAAGTGAAGACACATTAGAAAACCCGTCTTCTATTTTATAACACAGTGTTTCATGGTATCTTAAATGCTGAAGTGGAAAGACAAAGAAATGTAAAAAAGGAAAAAGACTGTAATTTTACCCAGGAGCTGAATGTTACCACCCACTGCTGAAAATAGGGAACCAGGGCCTATTCCAGGTTGCTTTTTATGGCAGAAGACAAGGATTTCTAGATGGAAGAATGAAGATTCACTAGAGGGTGAAAGGAAAGACAAAGGGACAACTTATATTAGAGCCCAGCTGTAAGCAGGCTTTGCCTCACATCTCATCAGCACTGTAAACAATTCTTTCACCTCCTTTCCAGAAGTACTACAAATTGAAGAACTTCACTGGAAAAAAACAAGAGATATATTCCACTAATTCTGGCAGCAACATAAGAGCACCTGAGAAGCTGCCATTACTCCTCCATACTGTGGTTTCAGCCTGGTACTTTCCTTCCGCAAAGAGTTTTTGGAGCCACATCTCAGAGACAAGTCTTAAAGTATTTGCAAGAAAAACATAGATTACTGATACAGATCTCATAACACACTGCCCAAGGAATTTGACTGCCGTTTTGGGGGCCTGATTTCTTCTAGGACAATTTAATTAAACTTCAAACACAAAATGAGCCTGTACGAGAGGGAATACAGTAGGCAATTCAGTTCTAGAGAACATCCTGGCCAAAACAGAAACGTATCTATAGGAAAAAGTTTATTCTAGTTCCTACTGTGCTAACTAAGAACACAACCTTACATTTATTTTAAAGGAATCTAGGAGACTCTGCATATGATTACTTTTTACTAGTACTGTGGTATCCAAAAACATGCTACTATTCATTCCAGAAAACTTTTTCATCACAAGATCTCTCCTGGATAATGCAAAGTAACTTGCTGCATTTAAAATCAGCTCCACAAATCATTCTTATTGCACAGAAGGTATTCCAAAACCAATTTCATTTCAGTTCACCGAGCAAACCTCCTTGACCATGTTCTACACAAAAACCACAGTAATATGCAGACTCTTGCTCCAAACTTCTTTTCAGACACTCTCTTTCAAACCAAGGTAAGTTCAGTCTCTTAAGTCATCTGCTTAGTGACAAACATTCCAAGCTACTCCAACACCTTCCTCCCTCCCACCCCCCCACACTGTTTTAGCAAAATCAGCAGAATATTGTGTCCTACTTAGTAGCTGGTGCTGATGACCACAAAAGATTCTGCAAATTACAGAGCACTGTGATAGCTGAAGGGGACATATGAGTGTATTAATCCTTCACTATTTCACATGCAATAGGGACATTTTTACCTGCAAGATGAAATAAGCTTGAAATAAAAAGGCCAGCTCCCTGATTTAAAAAAATCCCTCCAGCTGCTTTGAAGCAAAATGACCAATGCCTTTACCTGATTAGAATTGACAGAGATTGACTGAATCTTTCAGGGGATTAATGCATTTGTCTTTCAAATCCCAAGACCCAGATTCTAATTCGATCACAAATAAAATGTCCGCTGTGATGGCACAGCCTGTAGTAGAGTGTTCTTTTGGTAAGGTGGGAAAAGTTTTAGAGCAAACACTTAGAGTTGCACTTTATAGCATAAATGAATCCAATGTAGAACAGGGCATCTGCTAACATGTTCCTGATAGAAAATTACTGTCATGTAAGGAAATAGTATGAAATATTTATATACAAAAGGTTTTCCTGTCATTTCATGTAAATATATTTTAAAGTTTCACCTTGCAAAGACAAGAAATGCACTAACTTAATATAAGTACATATACATGTATATGTATATATGTAAAAACAATTGAAATTGCCCTGAGGTACTCACCTTTGCAGGATGGAAATATTTACATGGGGAATTTAACAAAAAATACACATATAATTCCTCTGATTCTTTCAAAGCAAGAACAAGAGTAGGACCAGTGAAAAGCACTGAATATTCCGTCTGATAATGTCCAAAGAGAAAATAATTAATCTATACTGAAATATGGATGTCAAATGAAGATGAATTTCAATAAGTAAGGTTGCAGTGATGCTGTGTTTAGTATTAAAGATCGCAAGGAACTTCTGTGAAACATAATGTAATTGTATTAATATACAAACATTTCTGTTAAATGTGGTTTAGAATTTCCTTTTCAATAGAAAGGATTTTAGTTCAATTTCCTGGGTATTACTTAGCCCATGATCAGTATTTTTTCCTTTCCTCTAGAAGTTAAAACTTTAAAAATAAGCAAACAAATGCACAGCACAGTCACTGATATTCACCAAGAGAAATCCTGAAAAAGTACAATGGTGACTATCTCTGCTTTTAACACTAGCTTTAGGGGGAAACATTACATTACTAAAATACATGATTTTTAAAATTTCCTGCATTCATGTTAGATTGAAAAATCAAAATGTAGTTTTTATTTTTACTTTTACTATGTATTCCTTAGCTATAAGGTCACTACTCACTAATTTATCTGGAGAGACTTTCAAAGTTATTAATAGCTATTGATACTATTCTCAGTGCAAAGACACTTACAGTGCCAATCCAGCACATCCATCTGTCCGATTACATTTCTAAAGACACTGCAGAAATAATGGCAACTGTTTAAAAGTGGTTCTGTCAGAGCTCTCTGCAGATCACACTGTTTACTTTAACAGGAAGTGCTCTCAAAGCCCATTCTCAAGTTTAAGAAAGATTTCCTTAAATGAGTGAAATTTTAATTCCACAATATGAGGAAAGCAAACCAATGTTATCTATTTGGAGCACTATTCTACGAACTACACTATTTGAATTACCTAAGAATTTCCCATGTCTTATTAGTTACACTGGCA